ATATATATATGTATGTATATATATATATATATATATATATATATATATATATATATATATATATATATATTTATATTGTCCTTTGACCTTTTCTTCCGAAGTGTTGTTTTCACAAACAAATTTCACAAACACAATATTTCCTATTTTATTAAGCCTCTATTTTTACCCCGTCACTGAAACGTTATAAATTTGTAACTATGATATAATTGTCACGTACATAACAAGTCCCGACACCGCCCTCTCGTTTACCAGCACAAACCATGTTGTCGGTAATTTGGAAAACACTAGACTGGAAATCCATGCACTTTTCATTGCTATACAGCATCATTGGTGCTTCATGCAACTCTGTAGCTGTTTTCCAGGTTCCTGAGGAGACATTACAGAATTATTATTATTATTATTATTATTATTATTATTGGCTTTTCCCAGCAGTACTGGGAAAAGCCATTGTTTTTGTTTTGTTTTTTGGTCATTTAAATTTTTGAGGACCTAGACCTAAATATCTCTTTTTTTTTAAATCAATGGGTATAATTACAACCTTGTATTACAGTTTGTCAAGAAAAGATTACATTTTTTAGACGATCCTGAGTAGGGTGTACAGTAGATCTGAGGACCATTGAGAGGAAAACGTCCCAGACAACATATTTCGAAAACGGATCAACTGATCTGAATGAAACTTTCGGGAAAGTTTATAACCCAAGTTACAAGGAAGATATTATTATGTGAAGGATCCAGGTTAGGGTGTACATTTAAAGATCATTTAAATTGCTTACGTCCCAGTTATAGATGGATAAAAATGACACTTTGCAGAATAGTTTTTCATGGTGAAACGAAGATCCAATTTTGGTGACGATCTGCTGTAGGGTGTGGATATGGGATCATTTAAAGATTGTTCTGTTGACAGTTGATTAAATTATTTAAAAGCAATTTGCGTTTTATGAAGCGCTTAAACCAGTTATAGCTAGGTTAAACTCAAAACTACCGTTATATTATTATTATTATTATTATTATTATTATTATTATTATTATTACCTATCTTAAGGCGACAACTTACTCAAAGTAGTAGTAGTAGTAGAAGAAGAAGAAGAAGAACAAGAAAAAGAAGAAAAAGAATTAACGCACTCTGCAAGCCAATCTATGTTTAGGCATATATTTCAGCAGCCATAAGTACGTAAATAAGCGGGCTAACCACATTGTAACATAAAATCACAAAACATTTGCCTAATTACAATATAGATAATTATATAACTTCAGTATGCCCCATAATTACCTTGTCTACCAAAGCCAGATATATAGCACGTGTCTCCTGGCAAAAATTGTGTCTCGTTTCGAACGAGACACGCTGGTCGCACATAATTTGTGAAAGGAACAGGTTTGTCAAACTTTATTAAAGCAATATCGTGGTCCATAGGATCGGGTAAACTAAGATCTTCTGGATGTAGGAAGGCCAATGAAGCCTCCACAATGAGATGCTTCCTTGAGAACTTTTGATTTGAAATACTGCCAAACATGATGGATAAACTACTAGCACTGTTTGTATCATGCCTAAAATTAAAAGATAATACCACCATATATTACACAACTCATATCTAAACCTAATTATTTCACTCGTTTTACATTTCTATTATATGTATTATGCCGGACTGAGGTAGGATCACATGGCATTGACACACAAAGTAATGTTGCATTTGAACTATCATATATTTCAGGAAACATAACTCAAATACAATGAGATTGTTAGGTATGTAAAAATATTTCTGAATGCTTAATAATTTTAACAAATTAGATACAATTTTATTAGTATAAATATCCATTAAAAGCTCACCCCTGCAAGAAAATTAGAAACTTCAGAAAATTGGATGGTATTACTATAAATTATTTAATTTCAAATAATATTTAACTGTAGAAATATGTAATATTTAGAATACATACCAAAGACAATGAGAAGCTGTAATTGCCCAATATTCATCTATTAAAGTACAGCCACAATGTGGATAGTAGCCAACCATAATAAGCCCTTGCCACGGCCAACTTCCTAGGTTAGCCTCAGTCCCACCAATAACTCGCTTCTTGCGATTGTGAAACGGCCTGCGACCACAAACATCTGTTTTAGATAATAATAATAATAATAATAACAATAATAATAATAATAATAATAATAATAATAATAATAATAATAATAATAATAATAATAATAATAATGTAGTTTTATATAGCTCACATATCCATCTAATGTAAGATGCTCAGGGCGCTTGATATGTGGACTAAGAACTCGATCAATGACTTTCTTCGCCCCTAAGGGTCTCTTCGTGTCTGTGCTACCCGGTAACCCGGTACCAGCAACTCTCGTCTTCCACCACCACAGGGGATGTCTGATATAGTCATTGAGAAACTATTTTTTTTTTCTATACTATTTTAGGGTAAAATCATGATTTTGATTGTGTATCATAATAAGATGGAATTATGAATTTTAAGAAAAATGCTCAATAAACCATGTATTTGTTTCATAATAATATTGTCAATTAGTCGAAATTTACTCTTAAACAGAAAGTATAAGCAAATAGGTGACTTGCCTTTGTCGCCACAATTTTCTTCGTCGCTACGATCAGGACAGTCATACTCGTCATCACAAATGTCATCTTTAGTTACACCGTATTTTAGTGGGCAAACCAGATCATCTGCAAATACAGAAAGATAAGCATAAGATTAAAGCAAAACAATATCAAGCTATGACTTAGATTGTATATATACTTTTGTTGTTGCAAGTTCCAGAATGAACTTCGAGGTTAACATGTCAAGTTTGAACTGTTTGAATTTCAAGTATACTATCATCATACCCATAACTCGTACTTGTAAACATACCACTACTCGTACACGTAACCGTACCAATACTCATGCTCGTAACACTACATACAGTATACTCTTACTCGTAACCATACCCACACTCGTACTCTTAACCTAACCCATACCCGTAACCGTACTGGTATTCGCACTCTATCCATACACGTACATGTACTCATATAATTGTATTCATACTCCTATTCGTGTTCGTGCTCGTACTTCTACTTTATACTAATACTCAAACTCGTACTTTTATTGATTCTCAAGTTATATTCATACTCATATTCATACACACTAATACCCAACTCACGTCTAAAGCCTGAACGTTTATAACGTGTTTTATTAAGTATAATACAAATTTTAGATTACTGTACCGAGGCTTGCCACTCCATTCAGTTCCAAAGACATCATCGTATCTTTGGCGGTACTAAAAGAAATGTGTTGAATCCAGAACGTCGAATATTTGACAATGATGTCTCCTGGGAGCTTTTGCTCAAAATCAGATATTGTTCCTTTGAACAAGATCGTTGACGAATCATTTGGATTGAGTCCGTATCCAATAAGGAAATAGTTAAACTTAGTAGAAGATGAGTTGAAATTGAGAAATTTCACTCCAATCATTGGATGTCTTATTGATGCAACTATCCACGTTGTTGCGATTGTAACTACATTACTATCATCAGTCTTACTATCATCCGTCTCATTGCCGTTTTCAACAATTACTTCATTATTTGAGGTAACATAATTGACAGTAACAGGTTCCTCGATTTCATCTTCATTATCTGCACATGGAGAAAGTTTGTTATTTTCAATATTTTCAGATAATCTGTATGCTTACAATACACTCGGTTTTTAACGCTCATTTCTTTTTAAAAAAATAATAATACTTTTAAACAATAATTATTCGTAATCAAGTATTATGGCTGAAATAGACCTACACTGAAATCATACTGTCGAATAACCTGCCTTTTTCAATTCATAAAGCAACTGTATTATTAGTTTTCTACTTATATTAGAAAAACTCATGAAACTAAACAAAAAATGGCAAACACATTGCAAAGCAGTATAACACTGCTTTAAACCCTGTCACCTCGGTAGCAAATTCAGAGGGAGGAAAATAGGGCACCCCCTCCCCTTCCCTGGTGCAGCAATCAAACAATTACTAACCAAGTGTGAAACAATATTTATAAGTGATTAAAATGGCGGAAAACTCCGAACCACAGTAGGTGAGGGGGAATACCACAAAACATTCTCGTCGACTCTCCACCCTAGGTTTTCCCCTTTAAACAGTGTGCGGTTGACACTTGCATCACCCCAGTAAAAAACTGTGGACCGTATCCGCGATGCGTCTCCAAAGACACGTAGCAAAGTATCTCGCCATTAATCCTAGTTGAATAATTACAACAGTTGGGCCAGGGCCATGCAACGCATCAACCCCAGTTCAGCAACACCCTTGGTTGTTTTGGGCAGTAGGAAAGGAGACACTGCATTGCTCTTTTTGGCTATAGAGGAAGAAGAGAGAAAGAGAGGAGAGAGAAATAAATGGTATTGAAAGCGCTGCAGGATACCTTATATAAAAGTTGTAATGTGTGACAGTACTCGTTGTGAATTCATTTCACAATCGAATACCATACTCCCACCCCGGGCTTGGTGTTTCGCATTGCGCAAGTTCCCTTCTCAGATTTTTCTCTGGATCCACCACTGTATTTAATGCACATTAGTCTCAACCTGTTTTTTCATAGGGAGATCAACTTAATGAAACCGAACATTATCATCAAATTTAATATTACTATTACAGTATATATATTATTATTATTATTAAAAAACCCCAACTTATTAACGAAATAAGTTTACCTTTTTCTATTTCGATACAGTCATCAATTGCTTTCTCACCTGGAATTGGCAATACTATAGTTGCTGATTCATCCACCAGTACACTTTGACGAACAACTAAGGCAAAAAATATATAAGACTATATTTTTTTTTTATTCATAGGCCTACTCAGCATCAATTGATTTTCCACTTGTAAGCTGGATATGTTCTATACATTAACAAAAATGATTGCAGATGATATACAATAATAATTGTGTAATTTGTTTTTAGAACAGTAGGATTTGAAAGCAATTAGCCATGGGAAGAGTCAATCTAAATCACACAAGTTTATATTATGCTCGCGTTTTGTGAAACTCTAACAACTGTATCCAAGGGGCGTGGCTTAGCGTAATGACCTTCATAAGCACCAGCAATGTTAATGGCATTGTTGTCATTGTTATTATTTTTATTTTATCAATATGTGACAAAGTTGAGTGAATTGCCCATATCGGGGCATGGTGATGTCATTTCACAACAATATTTGGGCATGATAATGTCATAATTATACCCGTAATATGTACCCATGTATTTGTCGCATATGAAAAACATGTCTGAAAATGTTGTGTCATCCTTGTTGAAGATGATAATAAATAAATATATAGTGTGGAGAGGATTTAACAGAAAAGAAATAGTGTGAAACATCATTACCCTCTCTTGCATGCATCGTCTTTATTGTGAAACCTAACTCATACGGGCCTTTTCCATACATTTTCAACCAGAAGGCATCGGTGAGAAACTCCAATACGTCATTAGAATCAGCGTAAAAGGTGTATACAGCATATTTTATTGGCTCTGATCCTACTCCAATCGCAACGTTGTTTAACCCCAGGTTTAAAATTTCGTTTATACAGCTTATAGTGAAATAGTAACCAGGAGGAGACTTGAAAATGAGAACGCCTCTTTCAAGCGCATTAGAAACCTCAGTTGACACTTGTTTAGTGTCTATTATGTACGTATCGTTGCCAGTCATATTTATAATCAATTTATCTGAAAATTGGAAAAGAAATTTTGTTTCATTACACAAATAAGGTTTTTATAGTAAATACATATATTAAATACATTTAAACTAATAATGTAAGAATAATAATGATTGATTGATTGCTTGACTAACTGGCTGACTGACTGACTGACCGACTAACCGACCGGACCAACACCGACCGACCGAACTACCTACCTTCGAAGTTACTTTTGCCAACTAAAGAAAAGGGCTTCTTTTCAAAATTAATGGTATACATTTTGGAATTGCTACTATACGATATTTTTAACTATGGAATTCGAAATTCTGTTTGATATTTTTAAATTTTAAACATGTTAGTACAATGAAATATTGATACTGACAAGCTATCATATTAATCAAAGATAACGTCGGTATGAATGTAAGTACTATATCGAAAGAAGCCCATATTATTTATCGCCCATGGGCTGTTTTTTCGATATGGGCTTCTTCTCGAGATTAAGCCCATGGGCTTCTATTCTAGGTTTTATGTTATTGTTTTTGTCAAATCCAAATATACACTTAACAGATAAATCAAAACAAAATATATTAAAATAATTACCTATAAAAGAACTAACGCGAACAACAAAACTGGTATTGTCCGACCCCGACGCAAGCCATATCCAACCCACATTATCAGGGAAGTCAATTGGTTTTGATAATTCGGGAATGCCTGCAATTTCGCTTGCAGCATTATATGGATTGTCCCCATAACCGTATTTGAAGTTACAACCGCCTACAAGTCCATTATAACTAACGAATTCTATTCTGAGTCTAAACCGCGTCGGCGATTTGAAAGTGTAGATACAATCTTCGTAGCTCCCAGAGTACAGCGGTGATGATATTGTTTCAATTGTGTTTTCTGTGGCCAGGCGTAAGTTATAGCCACATGGAGGTCCTGAAAAAACATGATAAAGATGCATCATTGTAATCAATTCCTGTCTCTTATACACTCTATGATTTATATACTATTTATATATACACTGTGAACGTCATAACCACCAAGAGGTTGTGAAACCGAGAACCGTGGTGATAGAATAATATTTCAACGAGTCTGACATTACTGTTGGAATAAGGACAGTCTGAAAGTTATAAGATACTCCGCCGCCTGCCTGTTCCTAATTTTCATTAAGCTATTTTAAATATTAGAGTAGTCTCTAAAAAAATGTTGTCCACACTATTAAATTTTCTGAGACAAATGACTTTGATATGCCCATATTTGGGTGCAATTTGACAACAACATCGTCGTGATAAAGTTAAAGAGCAACACAACTGACAAATAGGGAGATTGATAAAATACAACAGTAAAAGAGTTTACTATAATTGATTTTTATGAGTGGTTATTTTTTATCAAACAGTTACAAAGCATTTAATTCCAAATTCGAAACTTTAGAGCTGAGTACTGCCGAAAATCCAATAAAATAACTCACGGCATTTTCTTTCATCGAAACATTCACTGATACCCTCACAAGTTGTGCACCCAGACTCTTCATCACAATCCACGCAGTCATATACACCATCACAGAGATCCTCTTCCGTAATGGGTCTTGCATTGCTTTCACACAATAATGTATCTGTAAATTAAAATTGGCTTTATTGTGGTTCTTTTGAAGAAATGGAAATCCCTAAATATCTAATAGAAATTGCCTGTCGGTTAGACGGCCTCTTTAATGTTATTGCTCAGTACATCCTGTAGCTTAGCTAAATTCTTAACGAGTTTATTGTGGTTTGGGGCGGGTCGTGTGGAGTTAGCGATTAATGCAAGGGCGCCGTATTACCCAGAAAACTTTCCAGTAGGGGGTTCGAGATCCTGCACGCTCATGGTTTTGGTGGTAGAACCAACTCTTCTTGGATAAAGATGAAGATGAAGATAAAAACATGTATGCATGGAATGTACACAGCTTAAATCGTGTGCACTTTCAGGGCGTTTTTCGAGAATAGTAGGGGTTTTTCCAGCATTCTGATATCTTGCTGGCAGCAAAACCTATAGAATGCGACTTTGGGGGAGTATGCAGATAAAGTAATTCGTACAAGCATTTCTTAACCGGAATGAAAAGGCGCTAAAGGTACTTGTAATGATCTTGACCCATGATGGTATGTGAAGAATAAGAGTCAACATTTCCTTGTTGTCATCGTTTTCTTTAATCACAGCATAAGCGTGCTCAAAGAGAAAATCATGTGAATTACCTTTAGCGTTCAACACGATAGCCTTTGCAGAAAATCCAGTACTACCATTCGTTAACGCCCCACTCTGAAAAATGACTGAAGCAAAGTTAAGATGGGTTAGAACGACTCGGTCTTCCGTGATGCGCTGCATATGCAAAGAACTTCCATACGGGTTTTGTCCGAATTTTACTGTCAGCTCTTCCTTCAGTTGTTTGATGACATCGACATTCGAGATATCAATCTGGATTCTAGTGGATTCTGGCGACGTTATTGACCAAACGCATTTAGAATTTGACGGGAACTCCATGGGATGATTTGGAGACGAGAATTCAAACTCTTCACCGACTTCTCCAAGATTGATTGCGTACGAGCAGCCTGAAAGATTCCAATGAATTCATGATCAGATAAGAATGTCAGAAATAGAAATAATATAAATATGTTTTAAAATACGAGTTGTGTCAAACGTATGGACTACTACCATTATTTAATTTATTTGCAAAATGTATCAGATAAGCTCTGTATCGCCCTAACATGTTATACATTCTGTGAATTGGTCACCTTTATGCCTTCGCAGGCCTAGGCCTATTAACAAGATTAGTGTGCACATTGACTCAACTAAATAAATATATGCCTTGTAATTATTTTGCTTCAACTTAACTTACTTTTACAAACAATTTCATCCGGGTCTCCATCAGGATAGTAGTCACATGACAACTTTGAATCAATGGAAACACTTGTATTAATAGTCTGGCAACCATTCACCACGCCCTCGCAGACACCTTTACAGGGCATTACTTGTCTTTTCTCGGTAATGCATGGTGGGTAGACCATTGCGCAGAATACATAAAGAGCATTTGGGTCGCACTTCATAAAGCTGTCGACACTTTCCAGATATTTTTCGGCGTCTTTATGAGAACTAGCCACTTTGTTCGGAAAGAATGACTGAGCATAAGGTAAAATACCATCACATATATCTTTAGGAATATCCACACAGCAAACTATTCAAAGAAAATGAACACAAATTTAACAAGGATAGGCAGCCACGATTTTGGTAAAATATACAAATTTTTTAATTGTGTAAACTTATACCTGACTTTAACTTCTTTGCGATGTCTGTATCAAAGTTTTTTGCCGCCACATATTTGGCACGAGCTTTACTGCGATGGAGTGTCGCGTCCATACATTGCATGCCCTCGTCATTGTGTTGACTGGCTGTTTTTCCGTGTTCTGCTGAGTAAAATCATTTGTTTATTTACAGTTTTCATTTTATTTCTTAAACCCTATTAAAGCTTGCAGGTAGATATATTTTTGGTTGCTGTCGGAAAAGAACACAATTGACTTTATTAAAATTTAAGAAAAGTTTTCTTCAAACCAATTACCACCATTCAACTTTTAAACTTTCCATTAGATTGGTACTTAATACATTAATTTCAAGAGCCAGGCTACCTTAATTATTTAACTAGGCCTACTGTAAAAGTATGAAATGAGCGCATAACAAAACAATAATCTGAAGGACACGAGCACTCCCGAACTTTCGTTCGGGTATACACCTTTCATGAAAAAAAAAACACGCAACTGAAAAATTTTTCAGAATGCACTTTTTTCAAATTTATTTTGCATTTTGGAGACATAACACACCTTGTGATGTATTCAGATTTTTGAAATTATAACTGAAAATATGAAATTTAAAAACAAAAATATCACCCAACTGCAAGTTCATGTTACTTTTGTCAGGAAAGGCGCACTCAACTGCAAATGTTATGAAAGACTTAACTTAACTGGCATTTAATACCTATTATGTAATAGTTTATCATGAGAAACCCACTCAACTGCATAATGCTGTATATTTTTTATCATTGAGAAAGACGATTATCCAATGTATATAACATTACTTTTACAATGTAATCATTATAAGAAATATCTTTATGGTGCACAATACTGAAAACATAATCTCATACTTTAAATATTTTTTGGCATTAGTCATACTAGCAAAATATGGATTTTTTTTTGGCAGATGACTATTATGAAACCAGCTCCCAATAGGCCCTATGTATTAAGGAGGCAAAGTTCTTGACGTTTTTTAAGGACCACCGAAAAAAGGATATTTTTCTATTTAATTTGTCTTTTTTTAATGTAATACATTCTGTGTCTAATATCGCTGTGAGAAATTATTATAGGGCACAATTTATTACCTATGATATTATTATTACATGTATTTAGCTTATTAATATTATTAGACCTATTAGCTTATTAACTTAAATATTATTATCCTATTATTATTTTTCATTACTGTTATTATTATTGTTAATATTGTTATTATTATTATTATTATTATTATTATTAGTATATTTATTGCATACAGTTCAACATATATTGTTCGTCTGCTTGATATTCAATTTTATGTAAAAGACAAAATAGGATGAATTTCTGAAAAAAGAAAACTATAGAAAACGATTTGTTTTAAATGATAAAAGACAATTAAACAGAGGATTGTCCGAAAATAACGCAAGAAACAGAAAGGATTTATTAAACAATATACCCACAAATATAATTGCAAATTAACTTTTTTTATTTTCGTTTTAAAATATAATCACATTTAAATTTAATTATCTGCAATCTTCAAAATATTTAATCATAGGCATTAGACAATTATTAACAGGGTGCTATATTCAGTATGCGTACTGCTGTATTCTACTCTATGCTTCTGCCAGCATAGTGAAACCAATAGGCCTAACCCTAAATGTCCTAATACACGTTGATATAATATCACTTATAATCTTAAAGTAATATTAGTTGAGTTGATTTTTTCATGACAAATGCAGTTGAGTGAGTCTTTGGTGTTTTCCTTACATGCTGACCTGGTATGTCATGAAAAAAATCTGACATATTGCATATTGTATAGAGTAATTAAAAATACAAGTTCTACACAATGAACAGTTTTTATTTAAAAAAATCTAAGATTGTGTGAAAATAATTATTCAATTATTTATGCATGGGGAGAGCGAAGACAATAACACATTTTGTTGATATCTCAGAAATTTGTTAAACACATGTTGAGTGAGTTTTTCATGACAGGCCAGTAAAAGTGTCGCTGAAAAAACAGTGAGTTATCGAAATCATCCATATATAGCCAAAAAATGATTTTTGAAGAGACTTCCACATAGAATAATACATTATTGAAATGAAATATAACATTAAGATAATATATAGTTCAGCTTACCAAATACATCTACAGCGGGGACAGCTGGTTTGAGCACTGAAACAAAAATATATATTATCCTTAGTCAATTTTCAAACATACAATTTGTTTTGTAGCGCCATACGGAAATTGGTGCATTATTAAGTTGGCGTCTTTATTCCAACACAAAATGGTGTCAGTCAATAAAGATAAAAGAAACGTGAAGTAATTCCTACACTTTCCAAAAAACAAAAAAAACCAAAAAAACAAATGGGCTCATCGAATATATTTCCCTGGTAAATGCTATTCCAAATAAATGGAAGATAATCATTTCAAAAGGGTTAATTGATGTACCACAAGATGAAAATATAAGCAATTCACTGTTCAAAAAGGTAAACAAAGTTGGTGTTTACTATAATCACTTTATTTCTGAAATTGGTACAACCCCAATCACGCAAATGAAATGGGAAGTAGAGTTTAACACTGAAGTAATTAACAGGGACGAGGTATGGTAAAAACATTGCCCAGTTTCACTTTAAGCTTTTACATCGCATCCTACCTTGTAATAAAAGACTAAAAACATGGAGAGTAGTTACAAGTGATTTATGTGGACAATTGTTATAAAGCAATAGAAAATGAACACCATATGTTAGTACAATGTAAAAAAATTCAATCTGTGTGGAAAAGATTTAACGCAATTATTACTAATTGTGATTTTCCCGGTGTAGAATTAATAAACTGGTTTGATATTATTGTTGGAACTAAAAACAAAATTGTGAATGAACTTATGTCTACTTACATTCTCCATTTATAAAATTGGTTTACAAAGGAAAAAGGATTAAAAGAAAGTTATCGAGTCATTGGTTTAATGATGATGTTGTTTTTGTAGTAATTAAGGTTGTATTAATTATGTATGTATGCGTGTATGTGTATTGGTGTAGGTGTATGTATGTGTATATGTATGCATGTATGTGTATTGGTGTAGGTGTATGTGCGTGTATATGTATATGTATATGTATATGTGTGTGTGTATGTGTATATATAAGCATGTGTGTATATGTTTACGTATATTATAAGCTTATTAATTTGAAGTTTATTTTATCGAGTGTTTTATTAAGAAACATAATTACATGTCCTTATTTTACCTTATAATGTATTTTATTAACAAGTCATGAAATGTTTTATATTTCTGAATCTTAATACTTTATATAGGTATAGCCTACACCTATTCAATGACATTATAATATATAATAGGAACCATAATCAATTATATCATGCAAAGTTATAATTGTTAAATTATAGGGGAAAAAATCAAGCACTAATAAGTAAAAATTTATCAAAATAATAATTGTTTATAGAAATTTCATGTGATAGTGTACTTCGTGGTAGACACGTGAAGTTTTTATTTATTTGTTTTTTGCTTTACTTTCAGGTAAATTCTGAACATAATGTTTATTGAACCTTAACAAGAGTTAGTGGAAAAAATGAAAACATTGAAAAAAGAGAGACTAAATGTGGGCTACACCCACGAAGACAAACAAAAAAGATAAAAGAAACGGAACTTTCATAGCGATGTAGATATTTTTGCAACCCGGTTGCCACCATATGCCCTTAGCTACTATTTCCATTTGTCACTTTTCTGTCTTGCAGATCAATCATTGCTGAAGACATGCAAGATATTATGTCGGGGAGGTTAAACCTGGTTTGACTTTGCCGACTGCATTGCAAATGAATCGGGGTGCATTGCTAGCTGCCCTGACATCTGTCGGCGACTGTCACCGAAAACATTCAAAAGTAAAAAGGATTTCTTTTGGTTTTTTGTGTATCAGTTATTCAATCGATGATCATTTTCTGCTATAACACTTTGTTTAAACTTACGAATGAAAAAGTAATATAAAAAATGTAATATATAGGTCATAATGTATGTCTACCAAAGAATTAAATATAATATACTTACCGATAAACATTAGCAAGACTGCGCACGCAATTGCAGCGAAACAAGAGGACACGATAAACCCACCGAAGAGGTAAATACATTTTCTCTTATTGTTGTATTTTGTTGAAACAGATGTTGTTGAGGACTGGGAATCGCTTATATGTGTAATACTCAAATCTCTGTTCTGTAAAATAATTAAAATTATATTTTCTCGTACAAATATGATTTATCGTCTAACTATCAACATGACAGTTTCATATACCAACGTATATACATCCATATTTGAATCATTTCCACACCCCTAAGGCAAACTCTGTTACCAATATTGACGTAATGTTGCTAACAAATTGAAAGACACAACCTAACAGCCACATGGGTGCTAACTTCCAGTTTCAATGCATTAGTAAAGATCTTTAATATAAAATCGTAGTCCATGGCTTTAGTGAGTTTGATTGGTTTCTAGATTTTAACTAATGTTTTACAAAACACGGTGGAATATCTTTAAGGTGTCTTGACGATGGAAGCCTCTGGACGTTGAGATAAATACACATGTTTTCCCATAAACGCACATGTTCGCGTATGTTTAACATTGTCGATTTGTGGGACCTTTGCAACAATAAGGTGTATGCTTTATAGGGAAATACTGTTGTCGATTATGCCGTTGCTAAAAGTACATTTGTTATTGAGATTCGTTTGTGTTACTTCTATTACCCACCTGCCGGTTCCTATAGTCAAAGGGGCTCATGTGACCATCGATCACCATTTGGCTATTCGCTTCTTCTGCCATTGTACACCCTATGTGAAAAAAGTATTATTATTGTAAAGCAAAACTATAAAAAATGATATTTTCGAACAAATTAATAAACACAATGTGAATAGACCTACAGTAGGCCCGCGCTGTGTTGTCTAGAACACCTAATAAAAAACGAAACTAAAACCAGTGTTTGTGGCTGATGTCGACCAATGGCTGTGCTATCGGGAGAGGGGTAATGACGTCGCACACCAACGCTGATTGCATTTCCTAGTATTGTAGATCTGTGTCTTAAAAGCACTGACAGACTAGTTTGACTATTTTTGGCATGTTTTGAAACCACCACAGAAAAAAAATAAGAAAGATTGATTCAATTTATATAATACAACATTGACGTTGACATCTCTCAACAAAAACCCCAATCATTGCAAATCCAGTGCTACTTTTATGACTATGAAAAGTTAAGACGAGTGATATACAGGCCTATTTTGGTGTAGGAGGTGTTTCGGAGTAGGGCCCTACGATTTATTGTTTATTTCTGAAATCCTGTCCAGACTATCACATTTTATTTGACAAAAACTTGTGACATGACTAAATATGTTCATGACGACATCACATCATGACTATATATGAGCATGCAGCAGTTTTGTTGACAAATAAAATTTTATAGTCTAGACGGGGTTTAATGTTTGAAAAATCAGATGAAAAAAAAATCGTTTAGAAATAATGTCAGCTGAAAAAAAACACCGGCATTGTACATTTTGACATTCATTTCACGTACAATTAATTTTAAACTTTTTAGAAGTCGTCCATTAAGAACTCAATAACACTCATGAGTTTTTCATATTTGTATAGATAACAGCGAACCCAAAGCAGCTTTAATTAGCTAGCTATGGAAAAATTTCCAAAATGAAAAATAGATTCAACTTTCACTTTTAAAAAGTCAAATTTTCCTGAAAAAAGCCTACAGATAAAAAATTGGTTGATATTAGAATAGCTACTTCTTAATTAATTTTTTTTCATAAGAGTCGTCGAACGTGAACCTTACATTGAAGGAGTAGTACTTGCGATTGTGCATCAAATTTGCAAAGCTCGTTCTAATAAATAAGGACGAATAGACACGCAATGCCTACCTCTTCCTCTTTGAATTGCTTGATCTAAATATGTGATTCCTCCGGTACTGTATTCCCCAAGAGTTATCCTCAATCAGCCTTAGCAAACGCAAATGGACAATTTATTTCGTTCCCATACCAGGCACAAAATTCTTATAATCACGTCCAATCAGTCGTGTCTGCTGAAAAAAAAAGTAGATTAAAGATTACAATGGAGCCGTGTTCATCTAATATATTGATACTTTAAAGTGTACGGACTTATGCCTGGTTTATTATGTCTTACGGTAAAAATCATACCATTTGTGAAAGATTGTATAACAATAAAAAAAAAACACGATGAAAATCGATAAAAATTAAAGCCCTTTTCCAGACATAGGACGTCATTGCCTTTTCAGGAGAAATAGGAATGCCTCAAATTAGACGCTCTGCATAAAATTCAATTTACCATCTTAATATATCACTATCAATAAAAATTCCATACGATATAACATCAGCGCATTACGCAATACAGGAGAAACAAGACGAGGTCAAAATATTCGTAGAAAAAGTGTTTATTTTACCCTATAAATAGGCCTAATTAAAGCCAAGCTCCGCGGGGCAATAATGTTATGTCTTATAAAATATTTTTCTAACTTAACACACAAAGTATATTTGACGAAAAATTCGGGAACGGTTAATGAGATATTACCGGTAAGGAAAAGGGGCGTAACCACTCCTTTTTTCACTTTTCCCCCAGTTTTTAAATATTTAAAAATTTGTATCTCAATAACCGTTCCCAAGTTTTTCGTCAAATATGCTTTTTGTGTTTTAGAAAAATCTGTTCTAAAAGATATAATTTTTTCTCCTCCTGACCTGGTTTTAAGTATATCTCCTGGTAGAGCGGACAAAACAATTTCTGAAAGAGTAAATTAGAATTCTTACGACGGGGCCGTAGTCTTAATATGCCTATTAAGATACAAAAATGTTTAAATGTTTTTGTACAAGATACAAGATAAATTTTATTGTCTCCACTTAAAATAAACGAAGTAATTACAATGCTTGCAAAAAGAACAATTCAAGAAAAACACATTAAAATTGGTCGAGGAAAAAAATAGAATCAACCATCAAAATTCCATCAAAAAGCACAGAAAAATTTGAAATTATAGAAGCCTACAACATTTAAAGATAATGAAAAATGTTAGAAGAGAACAAGAAAGTGTTACACATTTTAAAAAGGAGAAACTACTCAAGAGGAAAAATCATATAACAATAATAATTATTATTATTTTTTTATTAATTTAATAATAATAATAAAAATAATAATTACTATTATTATTTTCATCATTATTAAAATTATTGAGACTCAGAGAGCCCAATTTTTGGGTATATTTATGGCGGTCATCATCTTGAATTTCAAAATGTCTACCATCCTAGCTTTTTGAAACTATGTTTACTGTATTCAGAGATTTTTGGCCTCTGTTGTTTTCCTCTTCTTTTGTTTTTCTAATTTTCCTTCCGACGCTGGTTTTTCATGTTCGACGAGAAAAAAAAACAAGAAAAAAAAAAAACCTCCCTCCCTACCATGTAATTTAATAACAAAAGGCTGCTAACCAATTTTTTTTTTTTACGTGGCCTAAATACAGTACTTACTTACCTAGCCTGTGTTCTATGGAACGCCAGGAGTGCCTTCAGTGAGCATTGCTTTCATTGAAGCAGGGGAAAATGTCGAAAGGCACTACCGGCGTACCATAGTGCTCTATGTGCTACTGCTACACTTTGTTCTTTGAGTGCTTTTGATAGTTAAATATGGCAGTAGTAATGGCAGCCTCCTTCTTATTATGTTGATACGGTTATTTTCCTTTGAAATGCTCTGCAAACACTGTTGAATTGCTTTGGAATTGCTTTTCTTAAAAGAATTTGTAATTTTTATGAATCATTTACATCAGCCGTAACATGAATACTTTTGTTAAGTTGTGTTTTATATGTCTAACTTTCTATATTGTTTTTGTCAACGTATGTTTACTGGTTGACAGTGCAGGGCCACCAAAGAAAAAGAAGAAGAGTCAACAAAGTAACGCGGATAAAGAAGCCCAGGGATGGTTTATTCAAAATTTTACAGCCGGGCCCTAGCCTATATGCCTAGGGCTGTTGGTTAATTTCTAATTAATATAGGCCTATTCATCATTATTCAGTTCAATGAAATTCAGACAGTGATCTACTTTACTTTAATTTAAGTCAATCTGCTAGTTCTGCATGCAAAACTAGGATGTTCGGCACTGTGACACTGTGTGGGTATTTATTTTAGCTGTGTTTAAAAAAGTTTATCAAGCCTAGCTAGGCCGAGGATTGTTAAAGTGTAGGCCTAGTATAGTAGGCAAGTATTGGCAAGTTAGTATAGGGCCTAGGCTAGGATTCATTAGGCAGGTGCTGTGTTGACACCAAGATTTTCCCAATGGATATTACTGTTCACAGAAGCTGACATCTTCGACAGTGATCGATTCGAGGGAGTGTTTTCATGACAAGAGTATGAGTCCGTGGGCAGAACCCCCCTTTGACAGAGGGAATTCAGTGGACCAAGCCTCGGAAACTTCAACAATTTTAAGCGATTAAGAAATTCTGTAATCGATTTTAGTCTCAATTGTAGCTTAAAAATCTCTATAATAATAAAAAAAAAATAATATTGTCTCAATCCTAATCATATGTTGATTTTTTTTTACAGGTTGAGGTGAAACTGTCAGATAAAAGTGTGATAGAAAGAGGGCTAGTTGATGAGAACTTGAAGAGTAAGGCTATTATTAAAGATTACCAAAACTACTGTGTAAAAACAGAGGAACGGCATTTTACTGGGGACGTCTTAGGTTATGTGACACCTGTAAGCCATCCATTTTTTATACTGTAGTTTCTGAGTATGCTTGTCTCTCTCCAACCTGACACAACTTTTTGCACTGTTAGAAAATTTGACTGAAATTTAGTATCGCTGACCCTGAACCCACACTATATTTCCTCTCCACTACAACAGTGAAATCTTGCCGTTTAACCCAACTAGGGTCTTGAGGCATTCCCAAGACTTGGTCATTGGGGGCCATCAGCTGTGCCGCCTCAGGCTCTGATAACCGCAACTGTTAACATTTCTAGACATATAATATTGTGTGGAAAATAAAGGGGTCAACACGAGTATCAAAAAACTCTTAATGTTGTTACCACACTACTGACATACCCAAACAAAAAGTAGGCCCAGCCTACTATGGTAAATCCAGTAGAAAAAATGGTGCAAGGCCTTGGCCCAATAAACTTTTTTTGCAACTTTAATGGATTGCCCTTTAAATCAAAGAACAATTATATTCACATATTAATATGTACATGTGTCTCAGTGGTTGATATTCATCCCTTTTTTTTGAATATCAAATTTGCTAATTCCCAACTAACAATAGAATTAAGAACTTTGCCACTATATTCAACATCCTGCCAAATGCTTCCCTTGTTAAAAAAAGCATCTCAAAATCACCATGCATTTTGCTATAAGTCAACTATGATTGATTAATTAATACATTTGTTTTGACTCTCAAGTGGAACAGCCATGGTTATGATATTGCTAAACTCTTCGGAGGCAAGTTCACAACTATTTCACCCGTTTGGCTCCAACTAAAGCGAATAGAAGATAGCTTTCAAGTCCAGGGAGGTCAGGATATTGATAAAGGTGAGGTGATTTTTTTCTGCTTTATTAATGAAATTCAATATTAATTTATATGTTTTTAGTTTTCTCTATGCATGGGTACATGTTTTGTAGACACTCTGACCTCATACTTACTGGGCTGGCATATACATGATGGTCTCATGCAGGGCTTGCATTAGGTTTTTGGATACATTAATCATGCAGCATCTGCCATGGACGTGGTGTGTGTGTGCGCACATGTTGATGGCATTTCCATATTTTCAAAAAGGGTGCCAAGTTGTCTAACATGGAGTGGAGTTGAAAATCTCATTGGTTAAGATGCTTACCTTCTGATCCCAGGGTCCTGGGTTCAATTCCTGTTACAGCAGGACTTTTTCTTACAACCAGAACCAACTCCAATCTGTAAGCCTCATAAAGAGGCTTAGTTTATAAAGCATCATTCTCATCCAGTAGGGGCCAAGTGTACTTGCTGTTGCATGTGAAGGAAATAAAATAAAAAATATCCTTCAAACAAATGCTGTACATCAGTTGGCATTGTTACTATTAATAATCCTATACAGATCAATGGCGGATCCAGGAATTTGAAATAGAGGGAGGGGGCCCAGAGAGGGACTTTCACAGATGAAGAGTCTATACCACCTCAACCTCACCATAAATAAGAAAATTCTGATTTTGGCTCATAGAATTATCTTTTTTCCTCAATCTAAATTTTGAAAATTAAAGAGGAGGCGGCATTGCTAGCGCTGATGTTCCCCCTCCCACCCTTTTGAACCTGCAACTGCAGGTTGTAGAAATTTACTACTGTATTGTGTTAGTCTTTTTTTTTCATGTATTAAAATGTAAAAAATCATCTTTACAGGTTGGATGAAAGATGTTAAAAAACATAAAAGAAAAGTAAAAATAGGTGAGTACTGGTAGATTTATTGTAAATCATGATATCTAATAATTAGCTTAATAAGTAGGTAATTACTAAAAGAAATAACAAATTAATTAGGAGGCATAAATATCTAGAATTTAATACAGTAAACGTTTGACCTATATAACTTATATTTTACCTTCAGTCCATTAATTGTCATTCCTACTGTGGGTGATAAGCCATAGAAAACATTATGCTTACCATAGGTTCAGTATGATACCTACTGTTTTGGACCTAAAAGCTTATTATGGATTTATGCCTAATCCGGGGGTGTTATGAATTATAGATTATAAGCCAATATATAATTTTCCCTTGAAGCAGCTGTAAAATATATTTATGTTTACACTGACTATGTAACTTTGTGTAGATAATTTGGTTGTATCTCATTAAACAGTTTTTTTTTTTTTTGGTTTTTTTTTTTCATTTTTTAACTCACTGACTGTTCGTATGTCTTTTTATAACATTAAAACACATTTTAAATGTACACATTTAATTTAAACACGTCATTGGACCTTTCTGGAGTGTCAATCAAACTCAACAACTGACCGCTCAGAACAGTGCCAGTAATATTCGCTTGTCCCACAAAACAATTTTATACCTCCTTGGTATTTTGCGCTTTATAATTGAAAACCATTAACCATTCTGCTAGCTGTACACGGTGTAATTTACAACTCCAGAGGGCAGTGTTCACTTGAATGAATTTTTGAGCAAGGAGTAGCTTTGCTTACGTTATGTAATGTTATGTTCTTGATGTCAAGATAGGTGATTGTACCTCCTTGCACAAACATCTTAATCTAAATTTACGCCGCCGTTGTTTTTAGGATCATAGCAACAGTACTCGAGGGGTGGACTCAGCCAAATGTTTCAGTACAAATAATGCCAGATGTAACATTGTTGCACTGACATTAGAAACAGACATGTTTAACATTTTTTTATTTTTTGTAACAACTAACACCGCAACTTACATAAACAATGCCTTTGTGACACCAAAATCACTTACGGCCTGTTATGTTAACACTAAGGTAGACAAGTATCAATTAATATAGATACATCAGGGAACAGTGAAATTACAGTGCAGTTTAATACGGGGCAGTACTGCACATCAGCACAGGCAATCAAAAGGAAGAAAGACCTGGGATGTTTACATTTCTCATAGGATAGAAGGATGAATGTGGGCTTACCAAAATTATTAGGAATTGAGAGTGCCACTTCAAAAATGATTGACATTTTTATTTACCAAAAAAATACATGTCTGTTTTAAATCACATCTGTGGTCTATGTCAAGATTATGTAGGCCTACTTAAATCACCACAACATATTAAGCACATTTTGAAATACTTGTTTTTTTTTTTTTTTTCTTTAGTCCCTCGATTACTCTTTGACGGATGGACTGGCAGAGACTATCAGTATATTTTCAACAATGAGGATGCTGTTCAGGAGCTCTCAAAAACAGTTGTAGAATTCTTTCAGGTATTTCATTATTATATATATTTCCTGTACAGATTGAATGCAAGAAATTTTGACGTAACGGCAGCCAATTATACATAGTGCATTAATTAAAAGGCCTCTTTATTTATATAGTAACCCATTGATATTGCAAATTGGAGCAATGATTGTAAAATTTTAAAAAATCCAAATTTTGGAGAAAAAAAAAATTCCTAAAAAAAGATTTCCTTTTGGATGGCAACCACAGTTTATGCTTATGTATACTTATGATACTATTAATACTGATAAATTGTGGGGGTCATGCTGTTAACCTGCGCGTGGTGACCCTGTACGACTTTCCCAGTCTACAGATAAAGGCAACTAATGTCAGTGGTCAGTGGTCATATATTTATATAGCGCCTTCCACAGAAAACATTCTCAAGGCGCTTTTGAAGCCACAGGAAACAAAGACAAAAGAACTTGAAGGAGGGGGGGTGGGGACGGGAGTGCGCACCCATTATCCGCGATTATTTGCTAAAGGAAGCTACATTAACCTCCTGTGATTATGGATTCTCATGAACAAACGATAAATTATGATATTCACTTGATATTTATTAAGTACTTAATATACTTTTCTGTTTTCTTCATATATATTTAGAAGTACAAATTTGATGGTGTTGTTCTTGAAGTATGGTCTCAGCTTGGTGGACAAAGAAGAGGGTAATCTACTCTTTGTATAAAATGCAATTCAAAATATTATGATTGATGATAATAATTATCATTATTATATTGTTTAATAATACTGTAGGAGTGATATTTAGCCTTACTTGACGTGTTGTCGTACCGAATACTCCCAAATTGTTTTCGCAAGTATTTGGAAGGTACTGAGTATTTAGTACGATAAAATGTCAAGTAGAGCGTATGATATTTTCCTGATGAATATGGTATTGTAGTTAGCTGTTGTTATTTAATATTACTATGTCATTGTGCTCAATCATTTATCTTATTATTATAGGCTCAATTATATCAATTTGTTTAGCTGCCTCATCAAGATTTGCACTGTCTGGTTTGATGCTAATGCTATTATCATGATTTGTCATTTTAATATCATTGTTTTTATCTATAGTGATCTTACCCATGTTATTGTGCATATCTGTGATGCATTCCATAAGAAGAAACTACAGTGTATTATGGTTATACCACCACCAATCATGCCAGGGGGAAGCAGTATGTTCAACCATGATGATTTTGAAGCACTTGAATCAGCAGTTGATGGCTTCAGCCTTATGACCTATGATTACCCCAACAGAGGACAGTATGTTGATGATTTACTGTATAGAAGGGTGTAGGGGAGTCATAAGGTACCTGGCTTCCAATTTGAGGAGCATAGGTTCTATATATTTTGATATTATTACGCAGAATAAAAAAGGGCAACATAAACGTCTGTTAAGTTATTATTTTACATATTTTTGTGGTTGTTATTGATTCATTAGTGTTTCGTTAAATTTTATACTACAGTAGTTATGTTGTAATTTGTGTATACAGATTGGGGCATAGGCCCATAAAATGTACATTTGGGCAAGATTAAAACTCGCACGAAAATTACAGACATAGAAATTTAGTTTTAAGTAGTAAAATCATTTCATTGAACAGTAATTTGACAGACAATAGACTGAAAATCATAAATTGCTTTAAATTCTAATTACCTTTTTTATACTTATTATGAATTACGGCTTTGTTGACTGTGGATATTTTCTGTTTGTATCTCCAATAGACCTGGTCCTAACTCACCGATTGAATGGGTGAAAAAGTGTGTGCTATCATTATCACCAGAGCAAGATTCTAAAAGGAAGAAGATATTACTTGGGCTTAATTTTTATGGATACATGTATGGAATGTCTTCCCCTGAACCCATTGTTGGGCATAGGTAAATTGAATAAAAAGTTGGTGATGGAATGTTTAAAGATGTATAAAAAAAAGCTGCATATTTCTCCGTACTTCTTGGACTCATTGGAAATTAGTCCGATCGGGGTGTACAAACACTAGATTTAGTGGGTCATCCAGGCATTAAAATAATTATTTCTCCTCGTATTTTTTGTTTTTTGTTATCCTGTGTGACATTAAATGCAAAACAAATCAAATCAAATTCTGTCTTGTTGAGCCAAGAGAGCAAGCTAAGTTGGCCTCCCAATGCTAAATCCACACTGTATGTGTTTACTTGAGACAAGCTCAGCAAGAGCTTACATCCTATATAAGCGATAAATTGACCAATCAAAATGTTCATATTTATGGTGTATGTGGAGGTAGTCATAGCATTTTTCTTTACCTTGTGTGACTAGCAATTCTTTTGTTTTTTAATCACTACTACACACTTCCATTTTTCTTCTTGTAGATATATTCAGTTACTGAAGAAACAGAAGTTAAAGTGGCTCTCCGATTCAGCTGAACACATGTTTGAATATAAGTAAGTTACTGTACTTCAATATAATATAGGCGGCCTTCATACCACCTTAAAATAGAGTAGTTTAAACTTAAGCACTGTATATTTTTTTGGACTGGAAATTGTATTATTGGTTCACTGGAAAGAAATGTCTGTTTGTTTTAGGGAGAATTCAAGAATTCGTGAGGTCTATTATCCAACTCTTAAGGTACTGTACTGTAATTTACACTTTTGTGTGCCTTTTTGACAAGCACTAGCCATCTCACAAGCTTTTTTTTGCATTCTGTGATGATTTACGCACGTCATATACTTATCCATTTACATGCTCAAATATGTTTCAGGCCCCGATGGGCCAATTCCTCTCACCTTCATGTGTTTATTTTTTATATTTTTTATATTTTAATTTATTTTAAAATGTGATTATAATACAGTATTATTTACTATTTTAAATATATTTACATTGTATGTTATTATTGTATTGTATATTTTTAATGTATTCACAAATGGATTTATTAGCTTTTGAGCCATGGTGAACTGCTGATTGGCCTGTTTAGTGTTTAATGACTAACTTTCCTAAACAAATAAGAAAATAACAAACTAGTACAGTACTTGCCTGAACTTTACAAGCATGTTAGACTACTTGATTGACTGATTGACATATTCCCAATATTCAATAAACATTCACTACTTCAATTATGCCTTGCTATGTTTTTTTTCCAGTCAATAAAAATGCGTCTGGATTTAGCTGAGGAACTTGGAACTGGTATTTCAATCTGGGAAATCGGTCAAGGCCTGGACTATTTTTATGATCTGTTGTAACATTTAAATTTTTTTTTTTTTTTTTTTAATTTAATTTTTATCAAATACATAAAAAATATGGTGAAGATGGAGAACACAATTCAGTATTTCAAACTAAAGAAGAATGGAGCTAGTTGTAATTTTGAAACATGTATAGTAATTCTATTTTAAGTTTTGTGGGTTTTTTCATCCAGGAACAATCTTAAAAATAATAATAATGGTGTTTTAGTATGGAAAAAAGTTAATTCATTTACATACATTGTACAAAACAGTTCACCCACCAATTTGCGATCCCTCTAATCCCATGCTTCCAAGCTATTGGTCATGACTCAACTTTGCATTGGATCACAAGCAGGTTTGCAAAACATTTAAAAAAACAGATTGTCAATTCATATGTGCAAATTTACACAATTTATGTGAAGTCTTTTAACAGACCTGTTGACATGAAATTTTTGGTGAACAGTCATTAGAACAATATCTTATATGCTCATAATGAATATATTTTACCTCAACGTAGTTGTGTTAATCTAAACACCTCTGTTTAACAAGACGTATGGACATAAACATGCAAGTGTAGTATTTTTTTCCAATAAATTTCAAATAATATAGCTAGGAAGCTGTTTCTCATTTATTGTTATTGTTTGATATAGTGGTAACCACAGGGTTAAAATTAATTGGGTTTAAGTTGATCAAATGTCTGAAAATATTTTCTGCCAAAAAGCTGATGCTACATTTTGTTCTTGTATTCCATTCTAAGTCTCAAATATTAGGTCTCATTTTCCCACTGTGGCGAAAAGGGACGATACAGTAATAAGTGGCAGATTCAAGGTAGTGGTGGGGGATTAACAATTTCTTACCTCACCCCCAACAATGGTGGGGGCCAGGTGGGTAGGATAATAATAGTAAGCAATGTTGATTTAAAGCCAGTGTCGAGTAGTAATTTTTAAACCATGAGCATCAAATTTTGGGATTAATGCCACTGTGCAATTTACTATCAAATTATTAGATGGACCGCGGTTAATGTGGGAAATCACAACTTGGGTCCCAGAGAAAAAGGTTTGGGAACCGGGCTTCTAATCCATCAAGGCCATATTTTTTAATTGTCTACTAACAACCTTTCAGCACTAAGCTAACCTCCAATTGGAGACCAAATCTTTAGATTCTTGGGTGCCAAAGATGGTCTCGATTTGGAGGGTGAACTGTAATTTGATTTTTTTTCCTTTTTTTTTTTAATTGCAAGTAGGTAATTACATCCTTTAATTGCTCATGTAGCATATAAATACTGATCTAAATTTTATAAATTCTAGTCTTGTTTATCGTACAGTACAACATTATTTTTCAATTCAATTTCCTCTATAATTGAACAATTGGCAATATTGTATCAGAAAACATTCTAACTTATGGACGAAGAATTTAAATGTGGAAATACTCTAAAGATGTATAATTGTTTTTGTATTCACTGGTTACAAACCAGAAAGCCTATCATCTTGTTTTAGTCAGTCTTTCAGTATTGTCTGTATCTATATTGGACAGATGTGTATCACTTGCATAATAAAACTAGAATTTTTAATCTCAGAAAAAAAATTTGCTTTTGTATTATTTACTGTGAACTGAATAATAATACAGTAGTTGGATTTATATGGCGCTTTACACCTAGCTCGAACAGTAACTTGCTTCTCCCCAAGGTTCTCTTCGTGTCTGAACTAACCTGTAAATTGGTACCACTACTCATCTAGAAAGATGTACTGGGATCTTTACAGAGCACATGAGCCAATGGGCCTTTCCGCTAAGCCCTGCCCCACCTTAAGGTCCCACAAAGACAGTGTAAAAACATACGCAAATATGAGGGACATGCATACTTGACCCTGTTCTGATTGGTCAGTGATTGACACTCCGAAAAGGTCTATTATGCACACTGGGCCTACAGTTTATAGTCCTCATCCTATAAGACTTCCTCCAGAACCATAGCATCCTAGCTGACGTAGCCACTGGACACAATATATTTTACACATTGACACTTGTTCATATACACGAGATAGCAATCAGTATATACATGTACTGTATTTAATAGAGCAGCAATCATCTCAGATAACCAAGCATTCTATACTACCTGCATGTAAAATTCAAAATATTGAAATTATTTATTTTGAATAACAACAATTAATACAAATAACACAGACAATAGGGTCTGTAATAATAATAATATACATTTCCTTCCCATCCCTCCCACTCCCCTACAAAAAATAAATAACACTAAGCCAGCCATTAGCAGACATTTTGTAAATGGCTATCAATTAGGTGTTAATAATAAAAACAAAAAAATGTATAAATGTGAAAACAGTAATGACTATCTGTGAACATCATTAACTTCAGATAGCAGGATTACAATGCAATGATAGTTACATTAAACTACCACCCCCTTTCCCTTTCCCCCTCCCCTGTATGTTGATCTAAAGGAAGAGTTAACATTTCCTGAACAATGTTCATAATGCCAGGTTATAGGTGCTCTTTCTATTGGTTACTTAAAGACTACAGTATTCAACATAGATCCTAGGCATTGTACAATGTTTGCGGTCATCAGTACTTGAACATGTTCTTCCAGATGCCTCTTTGGGTCCAGTTTACCTACATTCTTCACAGCCAACTGCTCCGCTGTCATGGTATCTTCTTCTTCAACCGACTAAGAAAAAGGATAAATGAAAATATTGCTTGGAATTTTGTGTTATAGATTTTATTTTATTTATCACCGTTTACCATTATATTGAAACATATTAACAAACATTGAATGCCCATCACCAATTAATTGGTGTTTTGGCAATAATATGAACATAAAAATGTCATAATGAATAAATTCAAAGTAAGTAAACTGAAATATACAATGGCATTTTTATTTTCCTTAGCTCTACACTTGAAAGTACAGTACTGTATATCATAAGGTCTTTTTTAGTGCACCTTATTATAGTTCTTGGCCAATTCCAACATATCCTTTACTGTCTTCTCATTCAAACTGCAATGATCGTTGTAATCTTTTAACATGAGGCCATCTGTCCAACTCTTTTTATGCAAATTTAACAACATCTGAAAGATAAAACAGGAAATGTTTTGTTTTTCGTTTTTTTTTATACATATAGATTTATTTTCAAAATGGTGGCTGTTGCAGCAAGCTTGATGTAACAGGTGCTCATGACAATATCATGTTGAGGAATGTAATAACAATGACAATATACGCCATCACTTTCAAGAGTTGATGGACATCCTCTGATATTCAGTGTCACACCATTTTTACATTGCTGTGTCATTCTGGCATGTCATAAAAAAACCTATGTACATATTTCCATCATTTCAAAAGTCACTGTATCACAGAATAAGTGTTTACAGCTAATCAACTTTAAAACATGCAGTATTTTAATAACTAGTGATCATACCTTTTGTTCAAGTTCATTTTTTCTGTAGTTAATTGCTATAGAATAGTAATGCCTGTTTAGTCCATGAATTAGGGCCTGTATGGATGGTTTGTGAAGATGTCCTAGGTTGGAAGTTGTCTGTCTTGGCTCCTGCCCTAATACCATCATGTTAGGGTTGATTAGCCTGAAGGCATCTATAACAACCTGTAGTAAGAAATGTAAACATCATTCATTAATAAAATGCACATTATAATACACATGACTAAAAACAATTAAAAAAAATATGTTATAGGTAGCATGTTAATATATCCAATCAGGAATATGACTCGCTACCTCAAGTTTGGTCTTAGCATCTGCTGGCTAGTCACCAGCAGCAAAGACTGAAAATAAAAACTTACTTTTCCCTTAACACTCTGAATAGGATCAACGACTACAGCTACAGCTCTATCTGATAGCGCTTCAAAACTTTGTTGCGTGTTGATGTCTACACCGGACAACCAGCAACCAAAACCAGGATGGGAATGATACCACCCGACTACCATTTCAGGCCTATGGAAAAATGACAAGTCATTGTGAATCAAAACACAAAGTAAGGTTCATGTAGAATTCTGTTTAAATGAAATTATTGCGTGTAGAACTGTTTAATCGATAATAAACCAAGCACAATATTTAATAATTTACAAAATTATGCTTGTTTCGCGATTTTACTGGTTTGAATCCCCGCATTCAACAGGATATATATTCACAACTGAAGAACAACTCCAATCTCTAAGCCCCGAAATGAGGATGAGTTACTGCTTGCATTGTTTAACAACTTACATTGCAAATAGTATCTGTCTGAACCATGGTCTCAAAGTCAGCGGTGTAGCTAGGTGCAACAGGGCCCAGTGCAAAATAAATTGCCTGACCCTTTGATGTGGTAGGGGAATTCCTTAAAGTTCTCAGAAAAATTTATCCTAAGAAGTGCTTGTTATACCCCTACTCCTAAAGGCCTAGGCTAGTAATATATGCTAATAATAATCGGCTTCATAACTGGTTTAAGAGCATTTTCGTTCTCAGCAGCTGTTTTAAACTAATCAAGAAAATTGGTGGCACATAAAATTTAACAACTGCAGTGGTTGGTCGGGAAATAGCACCTCTAAATGATGCAAAACTCTCAGACTTAAATGTTGATATAGTTTCCTATTTTCCCATTTCTTTTATAATTTAAAAAAGAAATCAGGGTGAGGGGGCTGGGCCAGCTGGGCCACCATTGAATACACCACTGATATGAAATAAACACAATAATCAATAATTACTCCTCTAAAACCGAATATTATTGAGGGATCCGCTGGCCGTTTTATTCTTCAAAAAAAGTGGAAAATTATTTTAAATTATTATTTTTAGGCCTATTTATGAATTTGCCCCTAACACCCTGGGCCCCAGTGCTTTGCACTGGCTGCACTGCCCGTAGCTATGCCACTGCTCAAAGTAGCTGGTGTTCTTATTAGTAGTTTGTGACTCAATATGGAGTTGGTTATATTTGAGCAGAAAATACATTCAAAACTTTTAAATTACCTTCCTGTTTGTCTTAACA